CCCCCCGCCTCGCCCCAGCTCTGTGACTGTGCATCACCCTTTTGGCATTTGGTGACTGTGGTGCTGCTCCTGGCAAGGTGTTTCCTAGCCCAGCCCAGTCATGACCAGGATGAGGGTGGAAGGGAGGAAGGTCAGGGAAGGCATTGGGAGCAGTGCCTTGAGCTGAGCTGAGGTCCCCATATCTGCCAAGTGAGGACAATATGACACGGGAGCTACGCAGCAAGGACAGGGTTAAGGACAGACCTATCACCAGCATGGAACACGGTGACCTTGCTTCCAGTGCCCGCCTGTGGTCAAAGGCACCTGCTGGGAGCAGTTTTTCTTCCCCCCCTTGCAGTTCACATCCAGACATGCCGGGCTCTCATGGTCATTTCTCTTCTCCTGGGCTTCTTTGGCATCATCGTGAGCGTGGTGGGCATGAAATGCACTAAAGTTGGGGAGGAGGATCCTGTCACCAAAAGCCGCATAGCTGTTGCTGGAGGTGTTCTCTTCATTCTCTCTGGTAAGGCAGCTCTAGCCTTCATACATCACTGATGCAGGAATCCTCAAACACCTATCAACACTGATAGAGGAAGGGGAGCAGTTTGGTGAGGGCTGGATGTCATTGACAGTCAATGTTTGATGTATAGTGGAACAGCTAGACAACCCTAGCACTGCAAGGGTTTTGGACCAGGTGATCTTTAAAGGTTCCTTCCAACCCAAAACATTCTGTGATTCCATGATTCTGTGCCCAGGTCTGTGCACACTGGCTGCCGTGTCGTTGTATGCAACACAGGTGACCTATGAGTTCTTCAGAGAGAGCACCATCCCCATCAACGCTAGGTAAGAGCCTGGCTCAGGGGGTGCCCTTCTGAATCCTCTCTTGTCCCTGCACTTCCCATTGGACCTTTCCTTGCTGGTTTTGGTGAGACACAGCATTGTGGGCCAATGTGCCCCACCAGTGGGACCTCTGCCAGTCCACCTTGCAGAAGATGTCCCTGATGCTAAAGCTTTAGCTGTTACCAGCTGGGACTGGGTAGTGGTGCACATGTGGAATTTCAGCCCAGGGGAGGATTAAAAGATGTGGACATGTGGTAGCTGGATACAGCCAATAGGAAAGATGAGGATGGAAAGGGATGAACCAAAATCTGCCTTGACATCACCTTGATCACCTCATCAGGGCTTCGAGCATCCTGTTGCCCATCTCAGTTTGCACCTGTGCTTCTCTGGCCCTCCCTGATGCTCCCTCACCCCTTTCATCACAGGTACGAATTCGGCTCTGCTCTCTTCGTGGGCTGGGGGGCCGCCAGCCTCTCCATGTTGGGGGGGTCCCTCCTGTGCTGCTCCTGCCCTGCCAAGGAGCGCCGAGGACAGCAGTACCATCAGCAGTCACAGCCCTCCACAGCCCGGGAGTACATCTGAGCCCAACCCTGCGCTCCTGCTGCCCAGTGCCTCCCTTCCCTCCCAAAAAGAGGCAAGACCCTGGTGTTCCCACCCTGCCTGGACCCTGAATGCCCCATGAGACCTTTCTCCTTCTTATCTTCCAGGTTTCAGCCCCATTTTCAGTGCCAGCCTCTAAAGTAGAGGTTTTAAGTATCATACCTCCCATATCCATCATTGCCGTCTTCTCCTCAGCTGGGCGGGGTGGCACCCCCAGCCCCACAATGTGGCCAGGCCATGTCTGTCTGTCACAGGGACTCTGTGGGGGTGATGCAGGGAGGCTGATGCCAGTGGCACAGGGGCACAGAGCCAATTGGCCAATCCCACGGGAGTGTGCTGCACAGAGATGCTTTGTACCATGGCCACCCCTCTCCCACATCCTGTCTTCAGGAGCAAGCGGGGAGGAAAGCCAGTGTTTGGTTTTCCTTGGATGAGGTTTTCACTTCTAACAGCACCAGCCCAACTCGGGGTTCAAGCATCCCCACACCACGCTCTTGGCAGAGGGATGCTTTTAGGGTGCAGCATTACCCTGCCTCATTGCTACTGAAAAGCAACACTTTAAAATTATTATTAATTATGATTGATTCCTGCCTGGAGGCCAGTTCTCCAGCTGAGCTCTGCCAGCCCAAACCTGCCTTGGACTCGTTCCTGTCCAGGACCAGGCTGTGCCTTGTTAAACAATAAATGGGCAAATTAAAGCAGCAAAATGGGCTCTGAACACAAATTTATTGTTTTTAGTTTTGGTGCCCAACACAACTATTTTGAGTGGCAGATGGACAGAGCCCTGAATTTTGGTGCCTCCCTGCTGGGTCCAAATCCCTCTTCCCCGCCAAGATCCCCTAGAGCAGACAGTGAAGGTTCCAAACACAACCTGCTAATTGCCTCCATCGCTTTATACCTCTGTTCTACTGCTATTAATTGTTTTGCAACTGCCAAAGCTCCAATTTAATCTGTAAATCCTCCAAACTCTCTGTACTTCAGCCCTGCTGCCGGTGTTGTGCTAACCAACCCACAGGGAAGGACACTGGAAATTATCCAAACAGCTTCATTATCTATTTTTTAATTTTATTTTTAAACCCAAATATGAAGAGAAAGCTGATTTTTTAAAATTTTGGGTTACTCTGTTTTATTTTGCTTCATTTTATTTTATTTTACTTTATTCTCTATTTCTCTATTTTATTTTGCTCTATTTTATTTTACTCTTCTTTTCTCCTTTTTATTTTCTTTCCTTCTGTTTTATTTCCTTTCCCTCTCTTTGATGTTATGCCCATGCCCAGGTCTGGATCCCTGGCTGTGCTGGAGGAGAAATGCTACTTCTTTCCTGAGGGTGGGGGGGCTGATTTCTCTCTTTCTCCCTGGCATTAACTGCCTTTATCTCTTTTAAGTTGCAGTCCCCCTGTAAAATTGTCACACCTCAGAGGAGAGCAGTGCTTGTAGGCTGGCATCACCCATCAGGTCCTGAACCCAGATTTTGGGATCCGAAAAACACCAACCAAAGCCACTGCAGTAAGGATTGAAAAGGAACCTTGTGCTTTAAAACAAACAAACAAAAAACAAAAACAACCCCCTCCCCCCCAAAAAAAACCCCACATACTAAAAAGGCCTTTTTATATTTCAGTGTAAAGAATTTTGTAAAGTGTTTTTTATTCTATTAATATAAATTTCATTAACTTTTCCATGGGATGCATGGCCCTGGAAATGGGACAGGTGGGGGATTTTTTTTTTTTTTTTTTTTTTTTTTTTTTTTGCTATTTATACTTAAAATTGTGACTTGGCAGTATTAAAATATTTTAAATGATGGGCATCTTTCTGGAACTGTCTCTTTGATGTCCCTTCACTCCCCATCTGGACCAGTCACCTCGGGTGCTGGTTCAGAGCCACTTCTGCAGTGTGGCAGGAGCCTCCCCCCTTCCTCAACCGTTCTTGCCCTCCTGGCTAAATGTATTGCGTCTTTTGCCACCTGTTGCTCTCAAAGATGGGGATGTGGTCTTACAAATTTCTTCAGGTTAAATCCTTGGGAATCCAGCTTGGCCCCTCCACAAGTCTCTTCCCAAGGCTGAAATGCCACCAGCATCTTCCACTTATGGGTCCTCTTATGAACCCTCATATCTGAAGTCTCCCTGTTTTCTCCCATTTCCCAGTAATTCAGAGCTGACTTGTGCCTAATTGGGTGTTTACTAATTTAAGCTGATTTTTACTCCCCTATGCAGCGACTTGACCCCTGCTGTGCATGTTTTGCTTCAGAGGTCATGTTTTCTGTTATAAGTAAAAATAAAAATGGACCTAATCATAATAAAAATTAAAAAAAAAAAAAAAATTATTCGCAACCGTATTACATCCCGACAGCCACCGATCAAAAATGACAGCGCAGACCCCAGAACACAGGCTGGGTGAACGCAGATCCGGCCTCTATCGCACCGAATCCCCCCCCGTCCACACTTACTGCTCCGCAGGGACAGTTCTTATACTCTTTTTCTTGCCCGCGGCAGAGTCCCTTTGTCTCCTTTCAAAGTTCATCATATTCATGTTGGTTTCTTTCTTCACTCAAAGCTGCACAAAACCTCGTCAGGGAAGAGATTGATGTTTCTCCTCCAATTCCTGGAATCCTGTATTCAGGTGGAAGGTGTTGATGGCCCTGGATATCTCAGATGTGTATCTTCATGGGCCATCATCACTGGGCGTCCTCGGGTACATGCCACCGTGAAGGACCATCTCCTGTGCAGTCGAGTTTTCCTTCGTATGTTAATGCCGTGTTCCACTCTTGTCAGTCAGCCACGGTTTCATCATTCTAGGATTAAACCCTGGTCCCCCCCTTAATAACATGTTTGATACATATATCTATATTTCATAGGCATGAATTTCTACCATATCCCTAACATTTTCCATCCAGGTTTTTTCATGGCTGATGTGTCGTCTTAGCATCGTCGTCTTGCCTCCTACACCTAGTCCAGAAATACATCCCATCCCACCTCAAACCCAGAGATTTGCTGTCCTTGGTGGCTGCTGTGACATCTCCAATTGTCACCTGAAGGCTCCCTGGGAATGGACACCCAGGCTGGAAGCACATCAAAGACAGGGGTCTGCCTTTGTTCACAGCACAGGCAGGCTGAAAAGGTTTCCCCCCCCCCCCCCCAACACACATCTCTTGGTCATTAAACCAGTTTTTGAGGGTTGGGTTTCTTTCCTTTTTCTTTTACTTACAGATTTTATTTTTCCCCATAAGTTGCTAGGAAACAAAAGAATGGGTACTTATGGATACTTAAGAAAGACAAAAGACAGTGTCTGAAGTCAGGAGAAGAATGGAGCATCTGGCTATAGCTTTTTTTTTTTCTCGGGGACCATGAGAATGGGGGCAGGTGAAAAAGAAGGGGCTGGGGGGCAGCTGGGTGCTCTTGCTCTTTGGCATCGGAGGAGGATGGCCAGGCTGTCGCTTACTGCAAGGGAGAATTCACTGACATCGCCCGAGTTCAGCCTTGAGGGACTGATCACCATGTGCTCGTGTGCCCTGGGAATCCTGAACTTCGCCTTGCCCTGCCCTGCTCAGAGCGGGCAGTTGTTTTTTCGGTCCGGCTCTGGGTTTCTCCATGCTGTAGCTGGCACTGTCCCTGAGTTCCAGCTACCACTGTGGAACTTCTAATACGTCTAGTCCACCATTCCAGGATTTTTTGCTCATTTCTGCCAGCTGTGACGGTAACTGCACCAAAGAGGAAAGTGCCAGCAGCCAAGAAGGCTTTTACTGGGTCCCTGGTTCTGTTTGTTAATTAATATCATAGTTGTTATGAATAAAAAGTTATCTATTTTTGTTTAAGGTTACAGAGCTAAAACTGGTTGGACCAATTGCTGTTAAATTAGCTTCATAGTTACTGTTTTGTTTGTCTTGTTATACATACTAGTAAAGAATTGTTATTCCTATCCTCATATCTTTGCCTGAGAGCCCCTTGATTTCAATTTTATAATAATTCAGGGGGAGGAGGTTTACCTTCTCCATTCCAAGGGAGGCTCCTGCCTTCCTTAGCAGACACCTGTCTTTCAGATCAAGACACCAATTTAATGAGCAGTATTGAGATTTTGGGTCATACTTCTTGCTTTCAGCCAAACCCCTGTGAAATAACAGTCATTTTTTAAATAGGCAGTGTTGTATTTGCCCAATTATCCCATCAAAAAAAAAAAAAAAAAAAAACAAAAAAAAAATGTAACAGCAATAGTGCATAAACAAAAATAACCACGGGGTACGGAGGGCAGGGCTTGACCCCTGTCACCTCACGTACAAGCTTGCCAAGCCAAAATTCCCTCTTTTATTCTGTACTTCATCACCATCTCCTCCCATTTTCAATTTGTCACACTTTGTATCTCCACCCTCATAATCGCCTTTACCATGCATGCTCCACCATTCTTTTAGGGGGTCATACCACTCTTTGGGGGTCTTCTTTGAGGAAGGCCTCTACTCTTCCTCGGTGTCCTTTAGTTCACCTTTTGGATTACACGTGCGCACCAAGCTGGTATAGTATAAGCCAGTATTATGTTCTAACATTAAAGCAATAAATCTCGTATAATTAACATTTTCCTGGTGTCCAACCAAATTCTCCTCTCTGCCAACTAAATTTAGTAATAGTTATGTCTTGCTTCTTCCTGTTCTAAACATCTGCAGGAGAAAGGGGGGGAGCCCCTCCTCTCCCTTTCTTTCTTGTCATTACACCTTTAACTGTTTCATTATTTCTAAATATTAATTACTGTATCAATATTGATTACTGTTTCAATTTTGTCAGTATGAATCATACCTATTTATTACAGCAGAAATGAGGGAAAAGGGAAAATGACCCCCACACACAAGCATGCAGAAGGGCTTTTCTCACACATCTGAGACATGGCTGAATTTGGTGGTGATTTTAATAATTCTTATTCACTGTCCTGCCCCTACAGCATCTACTGAGTCCTCTCCAGTTCTCTTGAGATTTTCCCATTTCAGAAAATATCTTTTTTCCCTTCCAGACACACCAGGTTTTTTTTAGTAAAATATTTGCTGAAGTTCAAGTTTTGGGTCTTGTCAGCACTTTTAAAACACATGGTTGTGACAAACCTCATAGTTTTGACAAACCAAAGTTTTTTGACAAACCCAAGATCTGATTTTCACTGTCACTAACCCAGGAAAGGAGCTTAATCATTTGACCACTGATATGTGGAGTCGTGGGCTGGAGACAGACACAACATGGAGAGTCACCAGCAAAGAGCACTGAGCTTAGTATGGCTGCGCTTTTCATAGGGCGTTTGAATCTCCCAGCTTAGATTGCTGATTGGATGAGACATCTCTCCCCCCAGCTCTCTGGCCAGTGGTGTATCTGCACCTAAGCTTGAACAAAGTTGGCTGAGGTCTTTGTTACTCTTTTCTAGAATGAGCCAGGTCAGCTGAATTGGATTTGTTGTTACAGCTAGATTTACCTAGTTCAGCTACAACTGTGCTACACCAACTACTCCTAGGTCTGCTCCTCTACCTGCCTCTTTTCACCCCCAAAAAGGTTTCAGTTGGGGATTAACAAGGTGGATTAGTTTGACGTATCATAAACTGAGTGTTTAGACAGAGCAGAAAATATAAATACACCTATTTTATAGGTGTTGCCAAGACCATGGAGGTACAGTTTTGTATCACTTGGGGTCACACAGTATTTCATGTGTCACAGATGTCCAAGAACCATAAATTCTTGATCTGTAAAGGTTGGAAAATGAAGGTTCACAAACCCTTCTGAACATTTTTGGCCTAAATTCACTGCTGCATTCCAAAGCATTAGACTTGCCATGTGCCAGAATTCGGGGAAAATAGAATAACTCAAAGCCCCAGGAATCTCACACATCAGGCACCTGGGCATCTCTGCAGGGCTGAAGGATTTGCCAAGATTTGTGTTTTGCCAAAATGCCCACAGTAAAATGCTGTAGATGATTATCCAGAGGAAAAAAAAATCAAAAACAAAAATCAAAACACAACAAAACCCAAACCCACCCTAAAAACCCAAGTGCACCTCAACTATGACCCACAAAGGGAAATGAGAGATGAGGGTGAGCGGTGCCAGAGCCCAGGGATGCTCAGGGGATGCTGTAACACAGATCCTGTGTAATCCCCAAACAGTAGGGGATTAGAGAACAAACCTGAAGCTTTTAGGGCAGCTCCAAGTGCCAGACAGCTGGGGTGCTGCTACTCAGGTTCAGAGGCACCTCCTTGGGCGCTGACTGCTGCAGGTTTTCACTTGTTTTCTGCTTAATGGGGAAAAAAGAAAGGTCTTAATTACCAGCCAAAAAGGTTCATTATCAGCCTGGCATTCCAGCTCCTTTCTTTGGCCCCTTCCAACCCTCTGAACTCAGGTATCATTCCTGGATCTTACGCCATTCCAGTGTCTTAGGCCACTCATTCTTAGGCAGTAATTGAAAGGTCTAATAAAAAAACGGTTATTTGTCCAGGACACATAGTCCCCCACCTGGGGAGAGTTCCCAGCAGGTTTCCGCTGGTTTCCTCATGTGACATTTTTGGGGAGGCTCCATTCCCAGCCTATGACTGCTCTAACTGCAGGGATGCCCATCATGTCTCAGAGCACAAAACCCAGCTGACATACCTTGGACAAACCTTAAATAGCCGAGCACAAGCTCCAGCTGGTGCTGCGTATCCCTGACTCCATTAGATGAGTCAGGATCCAATCCCATCAGCACTTAAAAGCCTTCCAGACCTACATCCCTTATCCCAAATCATCAGCAACAAAGAGATTCTGTCATCACCCCTCTGCAACAAGGATGAGCCTGCAGTGAAGGTAATGCTCTCCATGAACACCTTTTATTATCAACAAGGTTTAGAGCTGATTTTTCCCAGCATTAAGAATTTCTTTCTCTTCCTTTTTCTTGATTATATAACTGAAGTGGCTGAACAGATTTGCTTCAAAGGCTCCAAAACAGCTGGACTCTAGCAGAAACAAATAAGGCTCTGGGGAATTAGCTCAGAAGGGAGCCTGGGGAATTAAAAAAATTCATTGTAAATTGAGGTCTAAGAGACTGACCACTTAGAGAGAAGCTGGTGGAAGTGCTCAGAGATGATGGCAGAGTGATGCCTTTACTACCAGTGACATCCCAAGAGGGGATGTGGTGGGAGATTGGGCACATTGGGTGTGGGGACAACCCTCCTTCCCACCTTTGCCCCACAGGGAGCCTGTGCCATGCCAGGGTGGGCAGCCTCTGGCTGGAGGTACTAAACCTGATCATGATGAGTTATCATTTCATGGTAATTAACCTATGTAGCTCAGAAACTCATCTGGTCTTGCTAATTAACACATTTGTATGAACCCCTGTCCAAAGGGTTGTTGCAACTTCAGGCAGTAAAATATTTGTCATTTTGGGTTGCAAAACATGACAAAGTAGGATTCCTGCCCAGGATTTGCAGACACAATGTCCCCTGCTCATACCTTGGGCACAGCTCCCCCTTCTGCAGAGTCCCTTCATCGAGGAATGAAAAACATCCACCTAGGATGGAAAACAAATGGTGCCATCCCTTCTCCTCTGGAAAGCCTTGGCAACTCCTCAGGGCACCCACACCATGTCCCAGCAGCCTTTGTTGCCCTTGGAATGGGAGTTATATCTTTGGGCTTGTGCTTAAGATTAGGACACCTTCATGAGACACTTTCTTGTGCTCCAACCTGGACGTTCAACACCTCATAGCTTTTCTTGGAGAAAAATAAAAGCAAGAAAAGGCAGAGGATGTACCCACCAAGTCATATGGCAGGGATGGAGGTCTCTAGAAGTTACCTGGAGACATGCTTGGGTCACAGGTTTTTGTAGCAGCAGTTATTTGACAGTGGTTTCCAGCAGCTCTTGATTGCCAAAGGGCAAGTACTGATGGTTGGCATCTTCTGTTTGGAAGAGAGGGAACCAATGTGGGAATGTATCCACTACAAAATTACTGTGTGTCTAAAAGCTCTCTCTACATGTAAACCTGGTGGCCCAACCTTGGCTGAGGATATTAGAGCATTTTGACAGCAAGTAAGCACCGTGAGACAGGACCCAGATGACTCCTAGGTATCCAGAGGATGCCTGGCCTCGGTGACACTTTGTCTTGTAAGCAAGATCGGGTGTCTGGAAGCAGCCAGAGCAAGCAGAGTTGGTGAACATCTCTGTGCCCTTTCAGGTCTCCCCATGAGTGCAGCCCTGCAGGTGACAGCATTCGGGCTCGCTCTTCTCTCAACGCTCTTCCTACTCCTGGCCACGTGCACGGACTGCTGGATGGTCAATGCTGATGACAGCTTGGAGGTGAGCAATCACCTGGAAGGTGAGCAGAGTAGCCACCTTTAAGGTGAGCAGAGCAACCATCATCCTCAAAGTGAGCAGCTGAGAGCAAGGTGGGTGCTTTGCCATCTATGAGGTTGCACAATGTCTCCACAGGCTTGGAAAAGGGACATGGTGGGACAAACCCACTGCTTTTTGAGTTGAAGGATTAGACTATCATAGAGATAGAGGGATGGAGCAGGAGAAAACAGAGAGCAGGTATGGGCAAGGAGTCACCAGGACCTGTCCAGGTGTAGTGGTGGGAGCCTGAAATCTGCCCTGCTGGGCTGGGAGATCCATGTGAAGCTAGGGAGACCCTGATGCTTTTTTCATGAGTGCCTTTCTCCTGCTTCCAGGTAAGTCACAAATGCCGGGGCCTTTGGAGGGAGTGTGTCACCAACATGCAAGATGGGGTCAGGACCTGCGACCAATATGACTCAATTCTGGCTGACCACCCAGGTGAGCTGACCTGGTCTGGAGGTATTTATTAAGTTCACAACTCAGAATCTTCTTGAAAGGGAAGAGGGAAAGTGATTTTCATTGTGCCAAGCTCCCCTTTGTCAGTCAGCCACACCAGCTTAGGGCTGCTCTTGGTCTCCTGCCCCAATGGCCTGGTCTTGGCAGAAACTTGGCAGTTAGACCTGCCTGGGGTCATCAGGCAGGAAGGATGCTGTGAAGCTGTGCCACCTCACAACAAACATGCTCCAGCATGTAGAGCCTAGGATTTGCAACCCACCATGCTGCAGGCAGAGCAAGGACCATTCCCACTGGCCAAGGACTCATGCCCACAGTTCAGGGACAGTCACATCAGAGTAAGGACATTTCTTCTGGCCTGTACAGGGCACACCAAGCCCTGCAGAGAGAACCTTTGTGTTGGGTCATGACATGGAACAACACAGATTCAGGGAGTGGAGAAGGAGAGTAGTTGGTATGGACTAAGTGGGACTGCCACATTGCTCTGTGGAGAAGGGAGCTTTGCAGGGCACAGTCCATCACAGCTGGTGATATGATCCATGCCAGCTCTAGTTTTTCACTGGTATATTGACATTTGCTGTTTAAAACACCTGCTACACAACTTGGAGGAAAAAACAGTGTGGGCAGCAGTGTCTTCTGCTCAAGAATGGCTTGAGCAGGCAACCACATACCAGGTGCTATACCAGGTGATGGGTACACCTTGAGTTGTTTGGTTTCTTGAGCTGGTCTAATCATGGGTTTAAGTCCTTATTAAGTTTCTGATGAGCTTGTTGAGCACCTTCCCTTGGCCCATGGAAGGGATGGGGTTGGTGGATTCCAGTGTGATGACCACTGGTGAGCTGGATGACTCAAAAAGGACACGGGCAGAAATCTGGAGACATCTGTTCCTCTGATAATTCCTCATTCCCATTTATGGCTGTTTTTAACTTTCCTGCCCAGTGAAGATTGTGGTGACACGGACCCTGATGATCACGGCAGATCTCCTGGCTTGTCTGGCTTTGGCTGCTCTGGTCCTTGGGCTTGACTGCATCACGTTCCTCAAGGAAGATCCTTGTATCAAACTGAAGATGTGCTATGGAGCTGGAGTCATACTCTGCGCTGGGAGTGCGTGGCTAGGAGAGCTTTGGAGCAGACAGACTTCATGTCCCACAGGGAGATGGGGAGCTTGCTGGGAGCTAGTGGCACCCCTTCAGCAGGGCTTGGGGAGCATGGGATGTTGTATGGTTCTTTTTAACAAGCCCCATTCCTCCTAGGCATCCTGGGGCTCATAGGCTCCGTGTGGTATGCAGTGGACGTCTACATGGAGAGGGCCATGCTGGTGTCACACAATATATTCCTGGGAGTCTACTATGACTTTGGGTGGTCGTGCTGGCTGGGGATGGCTGGCTCCATGGGCTGCTTTGTGGCATCTGTCCTGCTGACCTGCTGCCTCTGTGCCTGCACAGGTCAGTTTCATTCCACCCCATCCTATGTCAAGTAGCTTTTTGCCCCGCAGGGATAAAGGGTGAAGGACCAACTCAGAGGGCACAGAGGCTTCTTGCAGGGTCCAGCCTAACAAAGGGGGACCCCTCTGTACTCAACCCTGTGCCCTTTGGCTGGGAAGGCTACACAAGGCAGAACAGGGCTGAGTGAGAGGCCCCATAAACCCTATAACGGCATGAAGAGGGTGCAGGGATCCATCCACATCTGTGGGCCTCCAGGTCCTGGTGAAGGTGTGCTGATGTTCACTCAAAGCAGCAGCTGTGCTGGAGTTGAATCCCTGTCATCAGCCAAAGCCTGAGACAGTGGCTGCAGGGATGTGCAGGTTGAAATACAGCCCCCCCACCAGGGACATTGGGCAGGTGATGCCTTCCCAGAAGTCATCTCCAATCCATATGCCTGGTCTCATGGGGTGGGAGTTAACCCTGCTGGCTGAGTTAATTTCTCCCGCTGTGTCCCCATGCTGTGGCAGTCCCAAGTCACCCTGCAACTGCCGGCCATGACACAACCCCAACTCTTTCCAGCAGTAGCTCCCAGCAGCCGCTGTCAAGTCCAGAGGCATCCCCAGCCCCAGGGCACCCAGCCAGCCACCAGCAAGATGTATGCCATGGATTCTCGTGTGTGATGGCCAGCTGCACCTCCTGCACCGAGCCCCGATATGGGACACTCTCACTGTCAGTCTGACCCCATTAAAGCACTAGCACCTGTACTGAGACATTTCTGCAGCTGCTTCCAGGCTCTGACGCAGCCAGCTGACTGCTAAAAGCAAAGGTACTGCAGCAGTCAGCCAGGGAAGGGTTTTTCCTCCACTTCCAGCCAGGTGTCATGAAAATAAATCCCAAAAAAGTATTGCTTTAAGGAAAGATGCCCCTGTTGTCCGGGAAAGCTGTCAGGACACTGAAGGCAGAGTAGCTCCTCTGACATTGCTCAGCCCATGCTTTGGGGGAATTCAGTGGGAAGTCTTTTCCACATGGAGCAGCACTGACTCCATGTGGCTGGTAGCCCTCCCACACCAGCCCCACTGGAAACCTTCCCTGGGCTCGGACTCAGGGCAGCACAAGGCTTGTGCTCAAAAACTGAGTAAAACCAGGAGTCTGGAATACTTAGTTATCCATGTTTTCATGGGGGATCATGAAGGAACACCGAAGCCATACACAGCAGACACAAGGAGATGAGTCAGTCTGAAGCCTGATGCAGATGTTCTGCCAGCAGAGTGTGGTTTTTAAGTTCACACAAAATGGCAATTCTCTTTTCCAAATGAATTATTATCTTTCAGCATTTGTAAACCATTATGAAAACAAACCAGAACATGAGACCACCAACTCAATCCCCACCACCCTCAATTACTGAATGCTGGTTGTGGCCTCATTCCCTTCTCACCCCAAGCTAAGCACACAGACACCAACTGCAGCACAGGGAAACCAAGCAGAAGCTCCTCAGCACTGTCACCCTGAGAGAAGGAAGGTCAAGCTCCAGGCCCGAGCAGATGGTGTTGCAGGGGTACAGTCAGTCCCCAAATCAGACAGGTGTGAAGACGTGCAGTCTCGCTCCTGCAGCCCAGGCAGGCTGCAAAGCACCTGCATCCAAAACCTAGGGGAGCTGTAAGGGTCTTCTTGAGCCATCTGCCCCCTCACATGAAGCCAAAAGGCAGCGAAGCTGTTGTTTATTGCAGCTTCTCACACTTCTGCAAGATGGAATGTCTGGGGCAAGTCTGTCCGTTTTCCAGGACCCCAGGGACCTGGGAAGGCAGAAAATCCAAAGACTGACAGGAAGGAGCAGAGATGAGATTGTGCTGTCAAACCGCAGTGTCTGGAGGGCAGAATGCTCACAGATGGCTCACAGCCAGGGGATGGGCAGGTGGGAGCATTAGCAGGTGCTTGGAGAGAGCAAAGCCTGGAGCACTAGGATTGTTGGGACACCTGGAGTGATTGGGACACTGGAGCCCACAGGAAAATTAAGAGCACAGAACTCACTAGTATGTGAAAGGTCCCAAAAGCTGCCATTGGGTATCAGCCCTCTCCTGCAGGTGCTCTGCAGTGGTTCTAAGAGGTGCTGTCAGCCCATGGCACAGCTGTGAGCTCCAGGCTGAGGGAGCAGCCCCCATGTACCAGGTTCTCACCACGGCAGTGGCGTGCAAAGCCAGTTTTGTTATAAGGCACAGCTCCATCTCCATGCTTCTGCACCCAGCTGGCTCTGCAGTGCACTCATGCAGCAATTGTGCTATAGCACAGCCCCAGTCATAAGTTTAGGATATTTTTGGTATCTAGAACCTGGCACAGGCTGCCCCATCCCTGGAAATGTTCAAGGCCAGCCTGGACAAGGATTGGAGCAACCTGGTCAAGTGGAAGGTGTCCCTGCCCCACAGAGGGTATGGGATGAGGCGAGCTTTAAGGTTCCTCATTCCTCCAACCCAAACCAATGTGTGATGTTACCATTTTTGGGGGAGGGTTTCCCTCTTTTTTTTTTAAGCACCCTCACACCACCGCAGGTCTGCAAGTGCTATATTCTAGCAAGGACACAGCCAAGCTGTACCAGCAAACAGCTCCTGGAAACACATTGGGCTAGCACTAGAAACTCCCATCCCTCTGTGCCTGCCCATCATTCTCCAATGTGACTCAACTGCACCTTCATTGGTTTTTTTACTTCAGCTTTTGTGATTTACCCCACCAGCCTGTATGCCCAAAGAGTAAATCAGTAATTTTTTTCCCAAACCTTCTATGAATACTTAAAACCTTTAAAGCACCTAAGCACACATGGTAACTCTTTAAGACCTTTATTAACAGATGCTTGCAGTTTGACTTGAAAAAATCAGGCGTATATTTCATACAAATTAAAAATGAGGTTCTTAAAAATCTCAACGTGACCAGATATGAAACAATTTACAAACTTTTAAAGGTATATTGAGAAAAACCAGGCTTTTAAAAAACGCGTTTATCATTTCCAAAAAGAGAATTCTTTAGGTAAAAATAATAAAAACCCCATGCTGCATAGATAATGCAGATAGTTCTAGTAATCTGGTCAACAGCAAAAAGCAAGCACTTAAGGTCTTCAGTTCCAATTCTTTTGTTCATTTCTTATTGCTGGAATTTCATTTTCTTCTTCATTTCTTGAAGTCTTTTCTTTGATGACTAAACTGAAAAAGAGGTAAAAAAAAGGCTGATCAGACAGTTTTCAAAGGGTTACAGGGGTGCTTTGTGTACCACAGCTCACCTGCAACTCAAAAATTCACCCTAAGCTGCCTGTCAGAAGCTCACAGCCCAACCCTCACCAGCTACTTCCCCTTGTCAGCCCCATCCCCCCCACAACCACACCAGCCATCTTTGCAAAGGAACAATGCCAAGGACTCCAAAGAGAGCAGTCAAGTCAACTTAAGCCCAAAGGGATCTTTCCCGTCATGGGGAGAGCTGCTTCCACCAGGCTCTGCCAACATTCAGCCACTGCTCAAAGCACAGAAACTAAACCAAATATTCTCCAAGCTACCAGACAGCAAGAGAAACCAAGGTAACATTGTGACATTCTTCTGAAGCCCATGTTCTAAGAATTCATCCAGGAGGTGTTGACCACAAAAATGAGTACCAGGATACAACAAATGTTCACCAAAAGTGCACAGAGATCACTGCAGCACAGTCTGGACAGTGAGTGAATGATCCATCAGCAAGTGGAACATGAAGCAGTAGAGCCCATGCAGATCAAGTCTCCAAGCCCCCACAGTTGGGAGAGGCTGTAGCTGCTGCCAACACTGAGCCTTCTCCCAGCCCAACTCCTCCAGCCCCTGTCCAGCCCATCAATATGACCACTCAGACTGCTCCCACTACAGCCTAAATGCTTCTTCCACTTTCCTGCCCTCCAAGTAATAAGCAAGGGACAAAAGGAACGGGATACACACATGGGTGACAAGAAATGCAGAACAAGTAGAGTCCTGGCAATGAAAATATTCCCAGATTAGCAGAACTGTCTCTCACGAGTCAGCACCAAACAAGCCCCAATCACAGACAGGTTCCCTTGCAACTAACCTAGCCTCTGGACCCTGCCCTGCACACAACCCTTCCGAGTCCCCATCTCAGCACTGCAACACAGCTCCCACATGCTCTGACAAAATGCCATTTCTACCAGTTTTTCCAGCACTTTGATTAGATAAAAGGCTGCTCGTGAGACACTCCTGCTAATTCTGCATCACCTTTGTAGAAACAGATGCCGAGGTCCCAATGCCATTCACCTCCCTGTAGGGACTCAGCTCAGGCACTAATGGAGTTCGGTAAATCCCAGCATGTGCTTCTCCTGACTACTTTCAAGTCTTTACATCAAATTTCTGGGTGAGCAGAGACTGCCGTACAACTCAACTACTGCACGCAGCCAAGATTTTAAGTGTAATAGTATTTTGTCAATGACAATTAAAGCTTGTAACTAAGTCCTCCCAATTAGTCAGCATTGATGCAACAAAGCCTCGAGTCCAGTTCTGCAGACACACTCACAGATCAGTTACAGCACGCGTGAGCAAGAAGAGTCCAAACACTGTAAGGCACAAATAAAAAGCACCAAAAGAAAAAGTCAGCAAATGGCATCCCCAGGCCCCTGGGCACACACCCGGATGATGGTAGAGATGTTAAGCCGGTATTTACTCAGCCCCGCCCTGCTCAGCCTCGGGAGCGGACGTGTTCTCAGCTGGTGGTTCGGCTGTCTTCGTCTCTTTGCCATCTTGTGGTTTAGGGTTCTCTGGGCGTCTACGTCGGTAGTTGAAATTACGGCGGTACCGACGTTGAGGTGGCTGCTGACTTTGGGTTTCATCCCCTTGGTTCTCTTTGTCTTCTTCATTTCCATCCTCTCTAGGCTGTCTTTGACGAGGAGGACCCCTGAAAGTCAAGCTAGGCTTTAACTATGCAGCACCTGAGCATCACCATGTCCTGGCTCTGTTGCTGAACAAGGCTAAAACCAGCAGCTGATCTGCAGCATACCTGCGAAATCTTGGTCTGTAACCCCGGTACATGTTTTGCCTGACTGGTCTGCCGTCTCCTGCACCCTGGTTGTCAGCACCCTGCAAGACATCAGGCCACAGACCGCCTTAGCCCCAACCAGAAATGTGCTAACTAAACAGTATGTCACGCTGTGAGAAAGGAGCTGGAAAGGTCATCAGTTCAGTCAAGGTGGACAGCAGTTCTACGGAACAGGTGCACACATGATGGAGAATCCTCCACTTAATCATACAAATTGAAACATTTTGGTTTTTAGAAGATGTAACATGAAGACCTTCACCTACTTCATTTCACACTACTGCCGAATCTTACCTAAATCATCTGGAGTACCTACAAGAAGTGTCAAAAGGTGCATCCCCTCACCCTGCTCCAAAGCAACCATGCCCATTTAGCATCATATGTCAGGCAAATGTTACCTCCACTATCTCTCCCTGTACGGGAGGGTTGGTGTATTGTGGACGACGCCCGTAGGGCCTACGCATATAGTAAGGTGGGTACCGCCGCCTGCGATAGGGACGGCGTTGCTGGGCTTGGCCTTCTGGTATGTTCTCTGCTCCTTCGTTCTTTTCCCCACTCTCACTGTTCTGGTAGTTCTGCTGATAGTTGCGTGGAGGACCCCTACGACGTGGATATCGTCTGTAATGGTTACGATCTGCTGCGTATTTACTGCCCTGCACTGGAACTCCACCAGGTCCTGTGACATTGGCTGCCTCCGCACCCTAAAGAGTGGAAATAGCATTAGGGAAACGGTCACCATCCCACCAGCTACAGAATAGCAGTCTAGTACTGAGCAAAGATTTACAACCACATTGTGAAGAAATGAAAAACCATTCACCTCCTTGGATGTCATCAGGCATCAACTCAAACCACAGGCACCACACCAAAGCCTGCAACCTGAGTTTTCCATGTGCGCTCTGACACCCGAGAGATGTGTTTACCTTTTCTCCCTCAACCACATCAAACTCCACGGTCTCTCCATCTCCTACGCTGCGGAGGTACTTCCTGGGGTTATTCTTCTTTATGGCAGTCTAACAACACAACAGTGCAGGCACAGCATAAGAATACAAAGGAAGACTTTTTTTTTTTAAGATTACTAAATACTCAGTTTCTTTATCTTAGGAGAAAGATTGTACTTCCGAAAAAGCAACTGAATAATTGGGAAAATTCAGGATGTCATAAAATGTACCTATATTATGCTCTGGACTATCTCAAATGTGCAACAGCTTTACCATTAACTGAAAGCACCTGCCAACATGCTGTCTGCTGGCTAAAAAGGCAGTTTGAAAACAAAGAGGAAAACTCTCACACCACTCACTGGCTAAAGCACTCCTAATCAGAGTTTAAAATTCAACATCACTATGATAGTTATACATTCCTCTGATGCCTATACACCAATATATCACAGCCCTTCCAATCACACTCTTGGATTTCCAGCCCTCCATTATTTCCCACACACCACAGGACACAGCAGCTTCTGTGTCTCATACTCTGTAAACATAAAAATGGCCACGTATAAAGGGATCTCCTCCTCCAAGGCTTCCAACACCAGTTTCTACAACAGGTCTAACCAATTAATCCTAAATCTACTCCAGCTGTGTATTGCACAACAAGGATTGGTCTTTTCCAGATGTCAGCAATAGACAATCCTCTGTATCAGTGGCCACCTGTCAAAGAACATTACTAGAACAGACTCAGTTTTCAGTGCTCTGCAGTACTGGACATCTTCAACAGACAAGTTAATACTCAATACACACTGTGCTCAGGCATGTCCTGCTTATCAAACACTTTAACTGAAGGGCAATAGAAGTGCAACAACTTTAATATAAATACCTGCCACACAATTTGATTAGATTTCTTCTGCCTAAATTGTACATGGAAAAAGTACATGCTCACAAGTCTCTGTAACTTCAAGGAAAGCCTTATTACAACAAGCAGCCAGTCCAATAGCTTTTTGTGACACCTAAGCTATGTAACAGGGATGGAGAAAAGCACACGCAGCTAGACTTCTCAAACAACCTGATTTCTTTCCAATTAGAGTCCTATAACCGTTTAATTGTAAAAATATTACACTAAACCAAATCATTACCAAACTGTTATTTCAGAAACACAGATAGCAGCTACATGAGAAGTCCTGTAACACAACCAATAAGTCAAGGTCCCTACTTGCCCATTGGGTCTGAAAGCTTCCCCTTGGGGTATGTATAACAAACCAGTGCCTCTAAAAGCTGGTAATTCACACAAAGAACAAGCATGAAGCTGAGAGATGATAAAAACAAAACACTTTCCAGGCATTGTTTTTCCCTTCCTTTGTGTTAACAACAGCAGCATATCCCTAACTTGAGACAAAAGAATGACCCATGGACTCCTAAATGCCAGAGTAAAGCAAGCTCCACTAAGAATTCTTTGTGGGCTGCTTACTAAGGAGATCCTGAGCCAGAACGGGCAAAAAGCAAATTGCTGATCACAGCCTCTCAATTAGAGAAAGAACTAAACCAAGGCAAACCTGCTCCATAAAGTAAGACGCAGGTGTGGTGTACAGTCTTGTCTGTTTTCCAGAGGTTTACCTATTTGCCATACATTATATCTAAGGATACATATCAGTTAAATTGAAAAGCCCATACTAAAACGTTGGTAGACTTTCACTGAAAGCCTAGAGCAATAAAATCTGTAATTTTGCCTAGGAAAGAAAATGAGTTTCATTGGCACTTCATTATTAAGTTCAATTAACTTCTCTCCCTGCTGCAAGCTTTTCATTTTATTTCCAGATGTTCACTTAACCACTGTATGAATCCACAAGATGACTGGACTGCAAGCAGTTATCCCCAAGCCCATGCTAGCATCCAGTGCAATTCTTATCACTCTACACCATCAGCCCACTCGGCTGATGTGCAAAACCCCAAAGTGCAAGCAGGCTTTTCTTGGAATGCAACCAAGAATAAGTTGTTTGTGTTCAAGTAAGAGTGAAAAGGCAAGGCTCTTCCATAACTTCAATCTTACTTAAATGGGTCAGGAACAGGCAATTTCTGAGAGAGAATATGTTTCAGTGTCAAGGAAATCTTACCTGATGGACAAACACATCTTCCTTGGTGTCATTCCTGCAAGACAACAGGAAATTGAGCTTCATTAATAAAATGCACAGTAAATTAAAAATTCAGTTGTTTGGTACAGAGGCAAAATGCTGATCTATCATAACAGGCTTTGAGCACTACTCTCAACCTGCTCTCAGCTAGTTCCTATTAGCTTACTGTGTGTAGGAAAGAGATCAGCTTACACCAAGCGCAAAGCGCATGCTGAATGTTCAGTAAGGCACGCTCCTCCTCACTGCTGCACACTCCTCTATCCTTCACATCCCATCACCAGAGATGTCTGAAAACCTGACAGTGGCCACTCACTCTTTTCCAGCAGTGCTCTGCGGGAGACTGGCTACTGCAGCTTTTGGAAGCAGCTCTGTCCTTGCCACTGTAGCCTCACTTACATCCCCTCAGCCTCAATGTTTCACTTACCTGAGGAACAGCAACACCAGCTGCCTGTGAAGGCAGCACAGTTGGTGAAGCCTTGGTCTCCCCTCTCAATAAACAGAAAAGAGCTCAGGTCTGTATCTATAAGGGCCAAAGAGCACCCATCCTTCAGCATGACCCTGGCAGAGTTTCTGCAACTGCCAGGAGCCCGAACAACCACAGCTCAGTATCAGCTTCAGTCAGAAGTTCCTATTCTGCTCTGAAGAGGTACAACAGAGACAACCTTGCGCTGCTTAGAGCTGCACAAGCCATTTCCCCCACTCCTGAAGCATGGACATCCCAGCTCCCACCACACCGACCCACCCTCACTGCAGTGTTAAGTTTCATTACTGCATGGAACAATCTGAATCAACAGCAAAGTGGCTTTTACTTCCTAGTTAAAGACATAAGAAAGCTTGCATGAAAACATGCTCTCAACTGGAGTGCTCATGGCTAGTGGTAACAGAATACTTGGTCTGGCTTTTAGTAAGATAAGGCCAGGTGCTCCTTACCCCTGGCTTTAAAAAGTGAGATTTGACAATTAAACTTCTTCCAGAAACTCCATCCAAGCTAAGGCTATTCCATCAGACATCACCTGTAAAAATAAGTTCCCTTGTTTCCTCTTGAAATTGATGCCTACAGACCTCAAAGACTACTGGGAAAAGGCAGACAAAAGGCAGTGGAGCAGAGCCATTCCAATCTCATCTCCAAAGCCCCAAGAACACAGCACTCAGAAGCCCTTGTAAAGCCAAAGCTGAAAGACTCTTCTTCAAAACACCATGTCCAAAATGCTGAAAACCTTCACAAGAGAACAGTAACATGCTTCTAGTAAAAATGCTGAGCATCTTTTTTTATCCTCAGCTGCAAAACAGTGGTAGGAAATGCTCATCCACAAACATGGACACCTTGTACTTTTGTCCAGGTTGAATTTTGGACAACCAGATCAGACACTTGTTTTTAAAATCCATTTGCAAAGCAGTTTCCATTCAAGAGGACATCGGAGTTTTGGCTCGATAACTAACGAGGTCACACAGAGCTCACTGAATCAAGTGAAAAACACGCCAGGCCATTTTACAGCCTCGTGCCACTGGCCACATCACTCCCAATGCAGTTTTCCAGCAAGCACATCTAGAAGCAGCAAGCATGCTGTCATGCGGATGATGGAACAGCAGGACCATCACTTTTTCAAAGAAAATTTGGAAGGGTACAAGAGAAACACCCATTCTGAAGGCCGAACAAATAATTTAACTGATCTTTGCACTATGCCACTATTTATGTCTTTTATCCACTAAAATGTATTAGAAAAAGGGAAACAGACAAGCAGACAGACTAAGAAGATGCCAAGTCCAGCAGGGCACCAAATACCACGCCAGACAGACAGTGCAGCTCCAGTTATGGCACAGAGCAAGCCAGCAGCTTTATTTTGGCAAACACAAGAAACAACTATCAAAGACCCAGAATTCAAACTCCTTCCTATTCTGGAACACAATCACACCTCTAACATTAAAAACACACAGAAAATACCTGAAATGAGCATGCACCTGCATCAAACCTCATTTCAGTTCTATAGCTTCATTTTATCTGAAAGCAGACCTGGCTAAAGCAGAGCCATGCAAAGGCAGGAGCTCCTGCACAGCTTCCCTGCAGCCAGGCAAAGATTCCAGAGCTGAGGAAATGTCCTCCCCTTCAGTTACCAGGCTCTAATCTCTTGATAATACGAGATCATGCTGGGTTTCTCATTACAAATGGCAACCTCAGGGATTAAACAGCTGCCAAAGTAATGACTGGGGAAGCTACTCGGATGTCTCAACTAGCTGCTGCTGCTTCCTTGCTTGACTGACATCACAGAACATTTTCACTGCTGAGGAAACAGGAAAAGCCTTCCCTCGAGGTGGGGATTGTGGCTGGGACTTGGGAGGCGTTTCCAGGGCCAGAGACACAACAGCTCTAAGCACTGGTGACTCCTCAACACTGGGAGCTGAAGCATGGCATGATGAACAATGCAAACTGGGAGGCAAGTTTGTAAAGCTGCAGACACAAAACCAATTCAGGAGCTTGACAGACAATTTACACTAGTTCATAAAGTAACAGGCAGTTCAAAAAGGCAATGTTTAAACCAAACATAAACAGAAGTTCCAATAATAACACTATACTTGCTGACCTAAAGGGTGATTTTCCAGTATGCAGCCTCATTCTGAGACTGGGGAGCTTAAGTACCACAAATTAAGGGAAACAGCTCTGGCAACACTCCGGGGAGGCACCTGCAACCAATGGGGCCAAAAATTGCCAATTTTTAAGAAACTTGTTTGCAGAGCATTTCCTCTCCTTGACAGGCCTACTTCAGGTACTTAATTTAAGTTCCAAAGCGTTCAAATTAGTCTTTCACATCAACTACTGTCATAAAAAGAATCTTCTAGGCACTTGTTTCATGCAACCAGTCCATACACTTGAATGTGGCAGCAGACTGTGTGAACTGAGCTCCTTCTGCTCATCTTCCTACATGTTGAGGGTGTCCTCATTAGAAAGTGTTTTAACTACCAAGTGGTAAAAGCCGTTTTTGCTTGCATTGACTGAACTTCACGCAGCAGTTGAAACAAATACTGTGTGTGCTGACACAGCCAGTATACTTTTACCTCCTTAAGTTAAAAAAAAAACCCCAAAACACCATAAAAGGATGGACCATAATGTAAGATATCGCCGTGGAAACAGACTCGCTTCGAGAGCGCAGCTCTTGCCTAGGTTAAAGGACTCGAAAGCCAACCAGGCAAGCCCCCAGGGGGTCAGAAACCCCGGGGTGTAGAAAGGGCGCAGGTCACCAGGTCCTTCTACCAAGCAGGGGGAGAGGCGGCAGAGGCACCGCCGCCCCCCGCCTGCCTGTCACTCACGCGACACAAGCGCCGCGCCCCCCTCCCCGGGGCTCCCCGTGACAAGGCCCGCTGCGTCTGGGCGCTCACCTGTTGATGAAGCCGTAACCGTTCCTCACGTTGAACCATTTCACTGTTCCCAAAACCTTCGTTGCTGCGGGAAGGGGCAGAGTGAAGAGGGGAAGGAGGGGAGGGAGCGGCGCGTCAGGGGCACGTGGCGGGGCGCGCGCACAAAGGCCCCGCGTGGCGGACATCTTGCGCCGCCCCGCCCCCACCCGGCACGCGGGGCCGGCAGCGCGCGGGGAGGCGAAGCAGAGGGGGGCGACTAACGGCCGCCGCGCGCGCGAGCGAGCGAGGACACGAGCCGGGGGCGGGGAGGGGGCGCGCACCGCCCCTCGGGGGGGAAGGGAGCGCGCACCACCCACAGCGGGGGAGGGGCAGGGGATCGGGGCTTCCCACCCCACTCCGGGACCCCAGGCTGCCCTCACCGATGACCTTCTTGTCCCCGCCAGCGGGAGGTGCCGCCGAGGCCAGGCCGCTGCCCCCGTTCCCGGTCCCACCGTTTGGCTTGGAGTCGGCGGGGGCGGCGGGGGCCGCCGCGGGGACGGGGGCGGCGGGCGGCTGGGTCTCGGCCTCGCTGCTCATGGCGGCGGCTGTTCGGTGCGGACGGTGGTGGTGACTGCTGTTTGCGCCGCCTCCCGCGGTGTGATGGTGACTGAGGCCGGCCGTGGGGGGGGGGGCTGCTCCCTGCTCCGGGCTCGCTGAGCTCCGCTCTCCGCTCCCGATACCGATCGAACTGGCCACAATGGCGGCGCGCACCGGCTAGCCACCCCGCGCGCCCCGCCCGCACGCGCCGCAATTCGCCACCCGGCCCGCCCGTTAAACGGAGAGCGACCCCATTGGCCTTTCCCCAACCTACCACCACCCCCCGCCGAAAACCTATTGGCGGCGACACCTGCCTTTCCTCAAAAGCGCGCGCCCATTGGTTGCTTCGCCCGTGGCTGCCAAGCTAGCTTTTCTTACCGGCCGACCCGGTGTCCCCGCCCCCGCCCCTCATTGGCCGTTCCGGCCGCCGCTCCCGCCCCCAACGGGCACGATCGGGGAAGTGCGCGCGACCATGTGGCGGCGGCTTCTGTCCTATGCCGCCCCCGACCCCGCTTCCGCTGGCTGGAAAGATCCAGGGCAGAGCGAGCCTGCGGGCGGCTCCGCTCCTGGCGCTCCGGGGGCGCCCACTCCCGTTAGTGATTGCCAGAAAGGGCCTGGGAACGTTACATTCCAGCGAAAAATGACGGATTTGGAGCCGTGTCAGAGCTCCCCAGTCCACGCACGGACGTGCAATTACAGCACGGAGTTGACCCGCAGGGAATCAGCTTTTCCCTAAGCATCCTCACCCTGAGCCCTTCTACCCACCCAGGCTGTCGGGAAAGCATTACTGCAGGGTCCTTTACCCTGTTGGAGCTTTTCTCCAACCACCACCTCTCAGCTCCTCTTTGCCTCCTTACCCCTATGTATTCACCTTACAGCTGCCTGGAGATACCCGACATCTCTTGCTGGATTACCCAGAGGGAAGGTCCAGAGGAAAACCCTGTCCTTGTCCAACAATTAAATTTTCCTTAGGCAGTTGAAGAATGTGTTTGGTGGCGACAGATTCCTGGTCCTGATTTGGCTATGTCATTTGTCTAACATGGGAGGAAGAAAAAGTCATCAGCAACCACCCAGAACTTCTCTGGGAGATGACACCACTCCACCATTTTTGCAATCAGCATGTATCTCCTTGGGATCAGCCCTTTCAGCATTGCACACAAATAACTGTTCAGTACGCCATCCCAGTTCCCCACATTCCACGCTGGCCAGGTGAGGGACTCCAATGAGACCAAGCTCAACCCACCACATCAACCCATTAGGAACACTGGTCTCATCCTGCTCTCTTGGGAACTCTTCTACCTGATCTTCCAATCAGTAAATGAAGGGAAGGGCTTGAAAACAATAACACAATCCCACAAGGATCTGCACCAGGATGATGACTTGGATAAAGAAGCTAGAATGATGTCAAAAATGATGCTGCTTAGTGACTGACATAGTTTTGTATGAGAAAAAAACCCAAAAAACAACCTATTTAAAAAGTAATTAACTAACTAAAAATTCTTAAATTTTATTTCTTTACATTATCAGTAAAAAAAAGTTATAAAAGAAAGAAAAATATTCTAAAGTTTGTTTTCTTACTATTTTCTTTTAATTACTGTTAATAAAATTTTCCTTATAGCCTTTTAAAATTTTAAGCCTACTTTACCTTTCTTGTAAATCTATCTTCCTATCTCACAACAAGAAATAAATACATAAATAATTAGCCAACACTAAAACCCATCACACTCATCAACACGTTAATTAAAAAAATCTCAACATTTAAGAAATCTTAAATTAACAGACCAAAACCACTACAGTGAGTCACCTGAAAGATAATCTTACTATAGAACTGGAATTAGGGAATACACCAGGCAGCGACCCATGACAGAGAAAACTCCAGGGAGGAAATCTGTGGGGATGTCAGGGCCATGCACCTGCAGCCTAAACTGTGGGTCCCAACAGGGTCTTTGGGGGGTAACACTGTGGAATCCAGAGGCAACTCAGACCCTCAGGGAAATGCACAGGCCACCAGAAACGCCATCTTCAGCTGCAGCATTCACAGTTGGAGGAAGATGCTGGAACTGAGAGGAGGTGCATCATCTCCTCTACAGGACATTCCAGGATTTGCTACAGGCAACACAAAGGTGACATCATCATGGGGGAATTCAAACAAAAAATGTGGTTTTTGAGAAGACTTTGAGTCAGCAGGTAAGGAACATGGCACAGAAGTTGGAAAGCTGGAATCCTGCACACTCCATGATGAAGGGAAATATAATGGGATGTAATTAGCCACTGTGACAACAAAGAGGTAGTAATGGATTTGCCACTCTTAATTTATCTGGGGAAGCTCTGTGACCCCTGTATGCAGGAAGTGAGGCCAGCTGATGGCAATGGTATAAATACATCAGACTGAAAAAGTGCTGCTAAGCCTGGACCAGAAATAAACTGGTTTCTCTGGTGAAAATATGATGAATTTGGGTACCAGCAGCCAGAAGTACAAACCTCAGCACAGCACTGCCAGGCATAGCTCCTGAGGCACCTGAGCTAGCCTCTCACAGGAGAGCCCTCTGCAAAGCATGTGTGGGGCTGGGGAAGAAAGGACTGGGGTGTCTGTGCTTATCACCTGATGTACTGCAGGTACAAAGTGACATGCCTCAGGCTGGAGAGAAGTGAATGTTCTCAGCTGCTGTGCAATCCTAGGAATGAGGACATAGGAATCCTGACAGCCAGAGCCTGCTGCCAGGATTTCAGAGCCATGAGAGAGAAGTGCACAGCCAAACCTGTGGGAGCTTTCTCCAGGCATGTCAGTGCTGGGCAAGGCCAAGCTCAGGCAGAGAGTGCACCCGACACCCGGTGCCCAGGCACGGATGGGATCTCTCTGCATGGGATGAAGCACCTGCATATGACAGAACAGACTCAGTCCTAACTTTCATCAAGTGCTTTACGTTTAAACAGCTGGATGAGAAGCTCCTGCTGGAACCCAGGCCTGTGCAGGGTGCGAGCTTGTTCCCTGCCAGGAGGGTGAGCTCTCAGCCCTGTTTGGGGAGAAGGCAGCCTCAGCTGCACTCTCCTCACTACACAGGAGAAGCAGCCCCAGTTTCATTCCTATAGCATCACCATTCTGTTTTTCCCATATGACAAGCCTGCTCCAACACCCTTGTCAGTACCCAGGTGAATCCCTCCTCCAACACATGTGGCACATAAGAGCTCAATGGTCTGGTGCTACCATGTGCCAGGAGAAGGCTGAAAGACACCTGTTTACATGAGAACTCTCCTCAGAGTGCAGCACTCATGGTGATTGAATCTGTGCTATACCAATTCCTCATGCCTCAGGAAGGCTGTACACACAAAGGTTCTGGAGATTCCCAAGACACCAAGAACCTTTCTGCCAGCCAGGCAGCTGTAGTTACCTGCTGAGTGAAAGAGCTGGTGCAGCACAGCTCTGCCAAGCTCCTTTCACCCCTTCTTTCTCTCAATATCATGCAGTAAATGTTCCTGACTGAACCAGCAAGGGATAATGCATGCTGCTGAAGATGTTACAGCCCTTCTCGCCTAGAGAAGAATCCATTCCCACTAATGTTAATTGATGTGTACTGCACATGTTTAAAAAATTCTTTATTTACATTTCAAAATGTAAAAAAAAAAAAAAAGAAAAGAAAAAAAAAGATGCCCATTATTAAATAATTTCAGGAGAACCTCAAGAGGATGGATCTGGCCTGTGCAGAAGTCTGGGGCAGTAGGTGAGCTGGCTGGAATTCGAATTGCATAGAGCCAGCACAGGTCTAATCACCAGTAAAGGAACACTGAAAGGAAGAAGAAACAGGTAAGTCTAAATGCTGAACAGCCATTGCCAACAGATCCTACAACAGCCAGCCTGTGCAGTGACACTGTTGGCCACACAGCGATTTTAAGTGCATGGCAGTTGCTACACACACCAGCTTTCATCATCCAGAGAACTCAGGAGTCCTCCTGAGTCTGCCTGCCAGGCAACTGCATCTACTTCTGAAGTTAAAGCAACAGTGTCTGTTTCTCCCAGCTGATTTTCAAGGATCTTGACAAGTAGCTGATGTGGCTGTCTGACATCAGGCAAAGCAAAAGCTGTTCTCGTCCCCAGTCAGATGAGAGACATGAGAGTGCAGCAAGACTGTTCCTAAGACCTGTCTGGGAAATAAGTAAGGTGGCACCAGCCTTGCACTTATGAATGAAAAGCTTCCAGGCTCAAGCTGGGCACTGGCCAGAGATCCAGTACTCCAAACTAAAATGATAATAAAGTCTGGGACCGAGTACAACCCTAAAGGGCACCCGACCCGTCAGCACAGCTCTGCAAGAAAAGGGACAGCCTTGCTAGCAGGCTTTTTCCAAAAGCCTGTAAATGCCACCAGAAGTACCAGGGGAATGGAAGAATGATTACACTCCCTGTTGTCACTTCATCAAACAGCAGGAGCTCCCAAGAGTCTGAAGTGCTGCAGGTCTCTAAGACTTTATTACAAAAGAAGGAACATTGTGGGCAATTCCAGTTTTCTCTGGATATCATTTAATGGAAGGTCAAAAATTGTGAGTATGTGCTTTTGTCCAAACTGCCTCCTGAAATTTGGAAAAAATCAGCAACCAAATGGTTAATACAGCAGATTTTGACAAGGTGCAACTCAACACACTGAAATCTAGACAGATTTGTTTAAATACCTGTAGTTTTTACAGTAAATTGAGCAGACAAATGGAAACAGAATACGTACTGTATGTTAGCCTGAGACTATTGGTTTAACCAAAATGAAGCCTGAATAACAGTAAATAGTGGAAACATCTCTTTTCAGATAAAGACAGTGGTACTTTTTTCAAGTCAAGGTAAGACTATGCAAAATGGTAATTCCTTGGTCCTTCATTATGTTGGTCCTACAGCTATACTGAGCAAGGAGGCTCAAGTTCTCCCTTTCTCTTCTCCTTTTCTTGATCCCTGCCTGTCCCACCCATGGATAGTCTGCTTTTTGTAGATGTTGGAAAGTTCTCCAATCTGCAGGTCACAGTGAGGCTTCACACCAGCTAGACTGCCTGGGTATTGCCAGAGGGATTACTGCTGTAATTCCCTTTCATCCACTTCCTACAATCGAGGCTTCAAGGCAGCCTAACCCAATCCAAGAAAAAGCTCCCATAAACCCATCTTCTCCTCGACTACAGCTGCAAAATCTTATCCCTGCTGTGCTGCCTCTGGTGTTTGTGCAGCTTGGAGGGAAGCCAGTTCTGGGACTTCAGCTGACAAAAAACAAATGCTGTTAGAGAAGCACTTTCTGGTGTTTCAACGAGCTGACACAGCTCTCAGCAGGTTCAAAGAAACGTGAAAATAAATCAAAAGAAAAATAAGAAGCAGAGCAGCCCAGAGTTCATGGCACTGTGCCTGTGAAGATTGAGACTTACCACATTGCTTTTACATTGCTTCACATTTCCCCACACTGAGAGATCACAACTGGCAACTTGGGTTTGTTATTAGGACCTGTTGGCACATTCTGGGGACAAACAAATACAGAACACTAAAACTTATAAAAGCACAGCAAACCCAGGCAGTGACAGATACCGGAAGATTGGCTAAGAGATCTCTGTAACATGAGGAACAGGGAATTCCAGACACAGCTCCGAGGAGCAGAAAAGCACCATTACACATTTGGCAACAGGCCCAACCATAAGCTGGTGAATTCCCTTTGTAAGCAGAGGTTTGGGACACAGACCAGAGGCTGGTCCTTTGCATTGGAGGGAAGGAACAGAGTAAAAACTGGAGAGCTCCTCATGGAGATACTTGAGGCTGCTCTGGCTTTGATACTAAAAGCAGCTGCCACAAGCAAAACAAACCTGTGCTCACACAGAAAGGAAGGAGACAGTGGCAAAGAAACCCTCATTCTGAGCCTCCTGATGTGCTGGACTCAGCTGTTCTCTGAATCTCTATTTCTTTACTTTGGGCTCACTGTACTGGTACCCAAAGCAGGCTCACCATAATGCTCCAGCAGATTATACCATGCGGTACTACTCTTTCCATGTGACATTTTCTCAAAACCCAACAGCTCTGTGTTTTGCCCTGCTTTCTAGATTAGAGACCCTTATGCACATTATCCCACATGTATCATGGAGTCAGTGCTGGCTGTCTCAGAGAACTTGCTGCTATTTATTAAATCTACTCATTATCCTGCCATGACACCCAGGCCTGATGTTGGCAGCAATCATCACCTGGACTGTATTTATCTTCAGCTCCTGGAAGCCCATCAGGAGATTAGTTTAATTTTTTCTTATTAAACATGCTGATCGTAGTTCAGCAGAACTGATGATTTTGCATCCACTGAATAATCCAAAGAAGTGAGATGCTTTACGCTCTTGTCTGAGCTGCTGATGGAACAACTTTTTAATTCAGCTTCTGAACAAATGCAAAGCAAATAAAGCCAAGAGCGCAATCCCTGCTCAAAGACTATCACAGTCACAAGATCCTAGCATTTCCAAAGCCAACTCATATGACAGCCTGTGCTTCAACAGATTTCCTGCTACATTATAATGATGACAACCAATAATGCCAGTTGTCAACACTGGTATTCACTGGCATCCTGTAAACAGACAGCAGGACAACTCTACTTAATCATGTATGTAACTTTCCAATGCAGACATTCACAAGGAAGTAGCCATATTCAAACTTACTTCAATTTTTCTCATGACCAACAGCCCATCGACAATTTTACCTAGAATGAGAAAATTTATCCACTTCAATATGGCTGGTTTTTACCTTTGTTACCCCCCACCCATCACAGGTATATGCACTTCTGTCCTTCCTGAAAAGCCCTGGGCAGTGTGTAGCTATTGGGCACTTCAGGGTTTGTTATTGATCACTAAACTCATAAAGGAAACAATCCCTCTTCAAACATTTGCCACATTCAGCACAGATTAAGTGCCTCTTCCCATCACAGGGGTAGTGTATGTAGAAATTTGGGCGTTGAGACCACCAGCTTAAGACTGGCCTGGAACTCCTACAGTTCAACCAGCAGTAAATACAAGTTAGCAGATATGGTTTCACAGAATTACTGTCCAAAACTCTGGTGAAAGCTCAGCCCTCTCTAATAGTGGAGAAGAAAGGATCCTTCCACTCATCTGTGCCCTCTGCACTGGCACAAGGATTTGTGTACAAATACAGTACACTGAACACTGATCTGGATTAAAGCTAACCTGTGAAAAAACAATTCATTTCAACAGTGATCCAACAGTGATCCATCACAGTATTAGGTTGTACAAATCCCTCAGATAGCACAAGCGAGGAAGGAAGAATGAGCAGTCCATTCCCAGAGGTGGTTGGGCACTGAACAGGCACCCCAGGGAATGATCACAGCCCCAAGGCTGCCAGAGCTCCAGGAGAATTTTGACAGTGTTCTCAGGTAGAGTGGGATTTTTGGGGTGACCTGTGCAGGGTCAGGAGTTGGTCTTGATGATCCCTCTGGGCTCCTCCCAGTAAAGAAGATTCTGATTCTCACTATTTATTTTAACAGCTTCCCTGCAGGGATGCCTGTGAGCTGCCACTCCAGGACTTTTACTGCAGGTACTCACCGAACACAACATGTTTCCCATCCAACCAGTCACACTTGGAGCACGTGATGAAGAACTGGCAGCCGTTGGTACTCGGACCACTGTTTGCCTGGGGTTTGAGAATAGCAAAATACAACAAGTATACTATTTCAGACTGACCAAAACCGAAGGCAGACACGTAAAGAAGAGGTGTTGCTCAAGTATCTATTATTTTTAGCTTATTGCTAGACAAACCAAAGGAAAGAAAATACATATCTGCAGGAGAGCACACTGTGCTGGGATGTAGCATGTCACCACCTCTGGTCACACTAGAATGTGCAAGAGTCACGTCACCAACTATTTATTATATTTCTACAAAGGCGTGTTCAATACAAGACTCTGCCGAAGTCCAGGCTTTAGAGCACACTCCTGAAAAAAAAGGCTGAATGTTTTGGTGAGAAGTATTTATTGGCTGCAGCATTACCCCGAGGAAAACTGAACACCAGAAAGCAGGGCAAGAAAAAAACCCAGCTGATTTCTGGTTTTTGGGAGGTTTCCTCAGAATAAAAATTTAAAAAATTCAACTATCATGATGAGAAAAGTAACAACTGTATTGGCACACAGAACTCACAGGAACAATGGGATGAAGATGTGAAATTTTATTCACACCCAAGTACAAAACCCAGAGCATTTGCACTCTCTTAAGAAAACATCTCTGCAACACTGAATGCCACTTGTGATATTGACAACCAGGAGCTACTAAAGCAAGTTTCTGTCCTGATGAGTGAACTGGTCAAGTTTTGCAGCTGCAGGACTGCAAAGGACAGGATCATTTTGGCTTTCTAGTTAATGCTAGCCAGCTTCAAAATGATCCAGTTGGGATCTATGGTTTCTGGGATCCAAGGTTTGACCCAGTGTAATGACTTCAGAGCCATGCCACTTTAACACAAAGCTGGCAATACTGGAGTGAATCCCTTCTCTCACACCACAGTACACTAGCTGCTTAGCTGTGCCATGACACCTCTTTTCGGGTCATGTTTTCAACATGGATGAATAACTAACCGAAATTATTAAATGTCCTAAGCAAGTGGTTTTAAGGGCAGAGCAGCTGAAAGAGCTGGGGAAGAAGTAGTTGCGGATAGGAACACTGAAGCACTGGCTCCATTTGCTTTCTATTCCAAAAGTCAGGGTATTGTTCCTACCAGACAATGTGCAACGGTTGCAGTTTCTCCTACTATGTTGAATAGGAAGGTCTGTTTTAAAAGATACCATGGTAACACTGCTGTGGCTTTGGAACTCCCAAATCTCTCTGTTTCATCCTTGCCAAGGTCAGTGTTTGATAACAGTATCAGGAAAGAAGAAAACACCACCAACTCACCACTGTATGAAAACTCTAAGAATTAAGCTCTTCTGAAAGCAATCAAGCTAAGCCTGCCCCAGCACTCCAACAGGCATCAAAGAAAGGATGCTGCAGAATCAGGACTATTGTGTTACTCAACATATTAACCCAAAAGTAGCTGCTTGACTAGTAGCTACAAAGCAGACCTTGTACCCAATGGCAGAGATTCTGTTGCCAAGCAAATACTATATACACTTAGGAAAAGGGCACAGAGAAAGTTCCAAAAGCTTTTTAGTCTGTAATGTCATTATTTTATACTCACCATAGAAAGCAGGCCAGGAGCAGAGTGTTTCAGCTTGAAATTTTCATCTGCAAAAGGACCTCTATATATACTGGCTACTCCAGTGCCATCTCCCTGCATGACAGAGGTACCCAGTCAGCGACAGCATGTGTTCTGTAGCAACTGCTACAGAACAATTCAATTTAAAAATTAATTTAAAATCTCCAAACAAGAGGAAAGGGCAAAATGGATTATGTATTGCCATTTACATACACCAGCAGGGAACACATACAGTGTTTCATTTCTGCGCAAGAACAGCAACCGGTTTCTAACACGTAGTTCACCGTTCACCATTCTTACGTTGGTAGAAGCCCATGCAGATGGTAAGTTTAAGTCCAAGCCTCCTAGAGTGAAGTGGAGGCAACAGATTGCTTGGTACAGACCCATCAGGACTTGGAAGGGAAAAGGGAGGAGATACAGAAGTATGGGATGGCGTGACACAGAAAGCAGAAGTGGTTGCATGGCAAAAGTTGGCTTATAGTGGTTTTATGTATTTCACCTTATTTTCTGTGACTTTATCAGAAATAGGAAAGCAATCTCTCTGTTCTACAAGGACAATTTCTAATATAAAGATTTTCTGTTTACGTTGTACTTTCTACTAAGTCCTTTTGCTCTACTTGCACAGCCCTTGTTTGTTTCCGTCCTTCTCTCTGTAGTTTGCTTAAACTTTTGGCTTTGAGAAAGAAACTTGCACCCTGTCTCAGGGGTCAGTGTGACTGTGCTTGCTCCCCAGGTGGCTCTGTGATAAATATAACATATAAATTTCAAATACTGGAGCAATGTGTAAAGCTCGTTGAGATGCAGTGGAAGTAATACATGCACTGGGACATCTGAGCAGTGTCACAATTAGCAACTACCACAGAGTCTGGTGTTGCTGGACTGCTTGCTGTGTGGTCATTTCTCTCAGAAACTTTCATACAACCATGTTTTATATTAAAAAAAAATCTTTATTGCTTCCCTCATATTTTGAAACACTTCCAAAAATAAAATAATTTTACTGAATCCTAGAACAGCGAAGAGATCCTGTGGCCCTTCAGCCTCACTCATATATTCTGCTTATCCCCATGTCAGAGCACGACCACCATTGTGAGCGCAAAGACTTCTCTATTTTGAGAAAATTTAGTAACAAAAGGTTAGTTTTGATTTAAATGACGTCTTATATTATGCACTGGGTTCTGTACTTAGGGTCTATCTACAATGTGAATTGAAATTCACAGAGGTTTTTGTCTGGAGGAGGACAACAGAAGGGGGAAGAAAAACAGGGCAAACAAAATTTTTCAAGTTTTGAAAGCTTCCAGGGTTTTGGCAGGCTATTGCAGAGAGAAAATATTTTGGGAAAAATGTGTGTTCACCCAAGACTCCATATTTGTTTTCAGGCGGTTTAATGTCCATTGCAGTAGGATGGCAGCAATGCTATGAGGATACCTCCAGTTACTACTGGATACCTCAAAAAAGAAAGAGAGCCCACAAATCAGCACAGACCCTTGGAAACAGTAGCATGTTATACCATAGAGGAAAAGGACAAAAAGAGTACAGGAGTACATACATTTACGAAGTCACCTCCTTGGATCATGAAATCCTTTATTACCCTAAAGAAGTAAACCAACACTTAGTTCTCAGTGGCCAAAAGCCTCAAGAAGCTCAGTGTAAGATGAAAAGCGGTTCTGCCTTGCTGTGCAACAGAAGCTAATAGTCTGTGAATGCTGCAGCCTAAAATTGACAACATATATTAATTAATGGTTGATATGAAGTCCTTTAGGACTCATTGCTTTTGAACAGGGATAGTGATTACATCATACATGCAGTATCTGATGTGGCACACCAGAAACAGAGGATTCCTCCCAGTGGGGAGGACAGCATCCCCAGGTCCCCCAAAGCCATAGAATTACATTAGCCATGATCTGCAAATGTCTGCAACACCACTAACAGCTCAAGGCAGGTCACAAAACCCCATATGGCTCAGGCTGCTATTTAGTGTCAAAACAACAGTAGATGATTTACCTGTGGAAAGTGCTTCCTTTATAACCTATAGGGACACCATCTTTCCTGTAGGGAAGTGAAAAGGAGAATTATTGCAACCTACTGGATATCCCAACAGAAAATCGTCCCAGCAATTCAGAGTCCCAAAGGGTTGCCATATACATTAGCAGCTGCCTTGAAATACAACCAAATGACACAGCCTCTCAGCTGCTGCTGTTGGAGGCATAAAAAAGCCTCGAGTGGGCTCTGCACATGAAATGACTCTGTTCTCTGTAACATCCCCACCATCACCTTCACAGGATCCCACTGTAATATGCAGCATGAGCAGGTGGGCTTTGCAGATAGGGGTTTTTAGAGCCACCTGGGCACACAAAGTCGTATAAGAAAGAGAAATCTGCTATCTCTGTGAGTCTCCAAGCCCCTCACAATTTCCTCAGAGCAGATTTCTCTTCCATTTTGTACAACGTGAAAAAGTTCAAGACAAACCCTTTCTACCTCAGGCAGCCCTGTTTCTCCAGTGGGACACTTAAAGGACATTATAATCCACTTACCTGAATTCACCTGTACAAAACTGCCTGGCAAACAAAAAGAGAGCAGAGTGTTAGGTGCATGTGAACTCTGAGGGCTGCACCAACTAGTGCACAGGATTTTCCTTATTGTGTCAGAGATGTTCCCAGAAAAACAGGAACAGGAAATGGTAATTCCTTCCCCCTGCCATTTCAAAACATACTCAGTGCTCTTTGTAGCGAGGAGGTCAGAGAGCTGACACCAAGGTTGTAAGAGACTGTGAATGTAGGGCAGGCACTGTGTTTGACAGAGATCAGGGTATGTCCATCCCTCCAATGGAAGTGGGATTTCACATGGTGAATCCCTCAGTTGATGGCAGGAGAAATGGGTGGCCAGGAGACCTCCACCATGGCACAAGGCACTGCCTGCTCTAAATGCATGGAGCAAATCAGGAGGCTTCACAGAGGAAGCAGAGGAGGAGCCCTTCCAGCCAGACAGGGTCCCCTGAGAGACCAGGATGCCACACAGCACCTCTGAGAACAGAGACACAAAGTAGGTGAAGCAGTTTGGGGTGGGTGTCAGCTAATCAGTTTGCCATTCTTGCACCAGAAAGCCTTTGCAGTTCCAGTCCAGGCGAGCTGCAGGAACGGTAGCCGCTCATTACCTGAAGTTCTCTGCTGTTTTGGGTACAACATCTGCGAACAGCTCGATCTTCATGCGGCCGACCTCCTGAGGAGACGGGGGCCAGGTGAGTCTTCCAGGACCCTCACACACAGACGCCTGCCGCCCGACCCTCGGCACTCCCCCAAACCGGCCACCTCATTCACCCCCATCCCTTCCGGCCCCTCCTGACGTAGTCCTCCTCCTTTGCCCTGCGAGCCCTTCCCGACGGGCCCAGTGACCCGACAGACCCGCCATCCGCCTCCTTCACCGCCCCTCCCAGCGCTTCCTGCTGCGGCCCTGCAAGCCCCACGTTGAACCCCCGGCAGCGCTCGTGCTCTCTCATCCCCAAAACACTCCGACATCTCCAGTTATCCCCGCAGTCCCTCCCCGGGCGCCGCCGCTCCCCGTCCTGGAGCACCCCCACCTGCCCGCCGATGGTTACATCGAAGAAAACCACGGGGTTGTTGGGATTCGCTGCCAGCGCCGACATCGCGACTACCACTGCCGGAAGCGGAAATGGCGGCGGAAGTGGAAACGGCGACGAAAGGCGAGAGAGGGCCGGGCGGGCGGTGGGGGTAAGGTTGTCCGGGATGTGTGTGGTGTGTCCAGACCGTATCTGTGGTATCCGGGTGGCGTCCGGGGCTCCATCCTGCTGGGGCAGCTCGGACTCCCCAGAGTAGAGCGCTGCTCGGCTGGGAAGACCTGCCCGTTCATCTCCTTGCCCCACTGGGCACACGCCGGCTGAACATAAGCCCAGTTGTGCCCAGACGGGCAAGGAGGCCAATGGCGCGTGGGCTGTACCAGCCACAGTGTGGCCAGTGGAACCAGGACAGTGACCACCCACCTGTGGTGAGGCGCCTCTAGTCCTGGGGTCAGTTCTTGGTGCTTCTTTATAGAAAAGACATAGCGGGGCAGGAGTATGTCCAGAAAAGAGAATAGAACTGGGGAAGGGTCTGGAGCACAAGGAGCAGCTGAGGGAGCTGGGAGGACTCAGCCTGGAGAAAAGGAGGCTCGAGAGGACTTTCTTGCTTTCCACAACCCCCTGGCAGGCAGATGCAGCCGTGTGAGGGTCAGGCTCTGCTCTCAGGGAACAAAGGACAGGACAAGAGGGACTGGCCTCAAGTTGTTGCAGGGCAAGAGGTTCAGGTTGGACATTAGTAAGAATCTCTATGGAAAGGCTCGTCCAGCCCTGGCGCAGACTGTCCAGAGTAGTGGTAGAGTCCCCATCCCTGGAAGAGTTTAAAAGCTGTGTAGATGTGGCACCTGGGGACATAGTTTAGTGGTGGCCTTGGCAGTGGTGGATGAGCAATTGGTCTCAATCTTCTGGATCTTTTCTACTAATTCCATGATTGCAACAGTTAGGTCTGTGCTCGCTTTCAAGGTTTGATCAGCTGAACACTGCCTATGAGTCGTTTACAGGACATCCTTCAATGTTCTGACTGTGCTTGAGCAGAAGTCATGCTTTCTGTGGCAGAAAGATGAGCAAGGTATGTAAACAAGTGCACTGCAACTTTTCTGCTTGGAAAGAGACCTTTCCTGGACGAGAATCCTGATTTGGAAATTGTTATGTATGCACTCAGTGGCTGAGTGCAGCTGTCTGTGTGCAATCAGTGCTGCAGGTGGGCCTTGCCCTTTACTTGTGGCAAGAGAAGGCTGCAGTGTGAAGATCAGCCCTGACTTGGCTTGTACAGAACTGGGCTGGCGCAGAGCACTTTTCTGCCACTGAAATGCCAAAATGGCAGTGTCTGCTTTTGGTGAGCAAAGGTGATCTATTTCTACACCTTCAGCCTGTGATTGGTGACATGGTTTTCTCAGGGCATTTCTTAATGACTCTAAAGATAATTTTTGAGTGTTACTGTTTCCTGAGGGTGAAAATCTACTCAGTGATTTGCACTGGTGAATTGTGTCCTTCAGTGTGTCCCAGCTGTGGTTTTGCTTTAAAAACCCCTGCAGTTCATCTGAAGATACCTTTTTTGCAGGCCAGGGATGAGCAGCAGTACAAGATGAATGATGCCTCAAGACGTCTCTGCCAAAATACATATTTACTTCTCTATGCCAGGTAGGAAGAAGTGTGAAAGGATGTTCAGAATATACTCTCACTTGTGTTACTGATCCTTTTGCTGTTCTTTTCTGATGGGTTTTGGTTTTTTTCATAGGAGAGAATGTCTGTTTGTCCAGGTGAGTTCTGTCTGTCTTGCAGTTTGACAGGCCATTTCTTCTCCCTCACTGTTAGGCACTAATCTGGGCTTGTGTAAATTGCCAGATGTGTGCTCTCTGAGAAGGGCCAGTTGTGAAAAGGGGCAAAATGGACATCTGAGAGTATAAAGATGAGTCACTGCCTGAAAGGGACAGACATGGCTGGAAAACTGATCTATTTTCCAAAGCCTTGTGCTGCTTCAGTCTTCTGCATGTCATGTCAAGTGTGCCAGAAAATGACAGGCCTGAAGCTGCAAGGAGCTGCAAGAAATCAAGGAGGTGGAGAAAGCCCACACACACTGAGGAGGGGAAGAACTTTAATAGAAGCCAGCCAGACATTCCATCTCCCAGGAGATGCAGGGCACCCTCGCCACCAGCTGGGACATGGCCATGGGAGCTGGCTCAGCTGTTCCCATAGGGAGAGAAAGAGCCTCCTGATGGCAGAAGCTCAGGGTAGGATGGTGTAAGAATGAAGAAAGGGAACTTTCTTCATTCATCCTCAAAAGAGGAGGACTAAAAAGTAGCAACATTTGCAACATTGCAACAGTTGCCTCACTCTTTGCCAATGATTTCAAGTGCATATGGCTTCTGTACACACCTGTTCAGTACTGGTCACCAAGCTTCCCAGCATAACCTGCCAATGACCATCAAAGGCTGCAGATATCTCAGAAGAATGTTGACCATTAAACCTGACATTTGTGATTGAAACAATAAAGCCATCAAACCAAACCCAGTCCCAACTGATACTTCTGATTGTTCTATAGAGAGTTTGACCATGCAAGAAACAGACAGGGTTTTTTAAAATTTGTTTAACTCAAGACTTCTTTTATGAACACTCCCCTGTGATGCAGAAAGGTGGATGCTTTCTACACCTGTATTGAAAGAGCATGCAGAGACCTCAGGGAAAAAGAATTCTCAGGAGCAGTGTGGCCAGGGCTCCTGGATCAGAGGCTCAGCTCCCCTGTGTGTGGCTCATGTTCTCCCAAGTGCAACATCCAGGGAGAGATGTCTTTGCAAGAGAGATGGGGAAACCAAGCAACTACAAGCATGGACACTGACAGTCCCCATCAGCAGGGCTGTTTGGTTAAGCAGGTGGATTTCCACTCTTTTTACTGCTTCTTTTGGTGAAGAAATTGGTTTCCTGGCAGACTTGGGCAGTGGAGTTTGATTAAAAAACACAACACTTCACCTTGAAGATGATTCTGCAGTGTCTCACACAAGCTGCAGTTCATATACCTTCTGTCCTATTTCTCAGCTATCCCAAAAATCACAAAACCAAGACAAACATTTAGGCATTTCATATCACAGAAAGTATAAAGCACCAGCTCCCAATCCTGCTGTGAAGCTCACTCCAAAATGAGGAAAGCATCCTCTCTGATCTCCACTGCCAGTGCTCGGAGCTGCTGTGCCCTCTAGCAACCAAGTCCAATGAAAAAGGTGTTGGGAGTAGGGGATGTGAGCAGGAGCAGAGTCCAGATGAGCATCCAAGTGCAGGGATCTTTCTTGGCATCAGTCACATTCTGGTGACCTGTGTAAAAGTCACTTCTTCAGCAGCCTCGGAGAAAGGGAAAGATACTTTACTATACAATTACTAAGATAAATGGTATTATTATTTAGCTACATGTGTTGCATCTGCATAAACCAGTTCTTTGTGCCCTGTGCCCTTACCTTCTCAGGCACACATGGCATCAAAAAACACCCTTGCAAATTATGTAAAAATTGCAATACAAGCCAGGTTACTCTTCCGCATCATCTGCTCAACCAACAATGTGTCTCTCCAGGGCCTGCAGACTATGAGTGGCCTCAGTTTCCACTCAATTTTTTTCATGTCCTCTGTCTTCTCCTCTCTCCCTGAGCTCTCCTCTCTGCTGGACACTCTTCTCAGTCACTCCCTGACCTCCCAGTGCTTTTCACTGTAATTGTGCTGGCAGATGTTACCTAAAAACACTATCCCAGTTTGGTGATCTGCACATTTTCCTCTTCTCTTGCTGCTGTTTGATGCATTTTTTTTATCTTATGAGCTCTTTTGCCCTGGCTCCCTCCTGCTGTTAAACCCAGTTCCTGCAAGAGAAGTGACAGTCAGTATCTCCTCCGTGGTCCCTTACCTTACCTCTCTGACTTGGACAGCTGGTGGGAACCATCACAGCGCCTCCCAGTACATGCTTGTCTCTGGGTGTGGAACATAGTTTCTGAAGGAGAAGAGGGAAACTCACAGTAACGCCTTGGCAATCTCCTGCTGGTAGAGCTGATTGGAAGGCAGCTCTCCAGGCTGCCAGTGAGGCAAGTTGGCATCAAGTCCTAAGGCTGGTTCAGGGATGCGTTTGAGTAAAGTGACACATTCTCAGCTCCACAGCTTCTATGGGCAAGCCATGTCAGTGCTTCACCACCCTCACGGAAGAATTTCTTCCCAGTGTCCCATCTAACCCTGCCAGATAACAGTGTGATGCCATTCTTCCTTTACCTGTCATACCAGCTTTTCCCAAGTCCCTCTCCAGCTCTTCTGGAGCCCCTTTAGGCACTGGAAGGGGCTCTAAGTTCTCCCTAGAGCCTTCTCTTCTCTGGGCTGAACCCTGGCTCTTAGTCTGTCCCCTGAACAGAGCTTCTCCAGCCCTCAGAGCAGTTCCATGGCCTCTGGACAGCAGGTCCACATCCTTCCTGTGCTGGCGAACCCAGAGCTGGAGGCAGCACTGCAGGTGGGGTCCTGTCTGAGTGAAGAAGAGGGGCAGAACCCCCTCTCACCTGCTGCCCATGCTGTGGGGATCAGCCCAGGACAGTTAGTTTCTGGGCTGTCGGTGCACATGACCAGCTCATGTCCAGCCTCTCACCAGTATCCCACATCCTTTTTGGTGGGGTTGCTCTCAATCTCTTTATTCCACAGTCTGTATTGATACTGGGTGTTACCCTGACCCATGTGCAGCACCTGCATTTGGTCATGTTGAACCTCCTAAAGTTCCTGTTGGCCCACTGATTGAGCCTGTCCAAGTCCCTCTGGATGGCCCTGCTGTCTAGGCACATCACCTGCACTGCTCAGCTCGGTGTCATTTGCCAGTGGGCTGAGGGTACGCTTGATCCCACTGTCTGTTTCATTGATGAGGATATTGAATAGTACTGGTGCCAGTACAGACCCCTGAGGGACATCCATTGTCACAGATGTCCATCAGTACTCAGCCATCTGTCCATCCATTAATCTGTCCTTTTGTCCTTCTGTCTGTCTATCCATCCAGGCAACCATCTGTCCACTCTCCCATCTATCCTATCCTCATCCATCTTGCCATCCTTCCCTTTGGCCTGGCCGTCCCTGCTCTTTCCATCTGCCCAGCCATCCGCCTGTGAGAGACTGGAATGTTTATGGTTAAAACTCAAAACATTTGTGCCCCATCTGAAGTGTTACATCATACAGTGTAGAACTCCTGCTCCAAGGGAGGTATCTGGGTGTTCCCACTAAGCCTGGGTATATATTAACCTATTGATCTTTGCATTTTGTAGGCTTCCTCCACCCCGATAGATCAAGACCGTGAACATCACTTTGACCAACTTTAATTAAAATTGCAACAACCAGGTTTGTTGCTGGACCTGCTTGTGGGTGATAACTGTATAAGCATTCTGTTCTTATCCTTTCTTTCTCTTTCTTTTTCCTTATAAATTTTCTTTAATGTTATTTTTATGCTTTTATATTGCTGATAGGAAAGGTGAATGCTAATGTCTTCACAAACAATTTCATGGGTGTGGGTGTGGGTATTAACGTCTTTGATATGAGTCTTAATGTCTCTACTAACTTTGAGCCACAGGTTTGTTACAGAACCCAGACTGTTTGACTGCTGAAATGGCAAATGGGTCTGCAAAAGTCTGAGTTTCTGAACTTGGGCCAAAATTTTATGTTTAAGGGGGGAATATGTGGTAGGTGATTTGGGAAGGCTTGTACATTCTGAGTACCTCAGCCAGTGGGGAAGGGAAGAGGGCAACATGTGGCTGGGAATTTAGAATAAAAGGAGGCTGCGCCCTCCAAAACTTCAAGAGAGAAAACCCAGTGGGTGTGTGCCCCAGTGGACTCTCTCCCTTTATTCAACTAAAGTTGCAGGACTCCTCTGTCTTTTTGGACACTGGCTTTTCAGTGTGTGATTTTCTGCCCATTACTATAGATAATAACCCAAACAGCTGCATTTTAAAACTTGCTAAAAACCTTATTCTACCTTAATGTTCTAAAGTTTGCAAAAAAAGTTTGTCCTTGAACTTCCTGAGTATTTTGTTGTTTCTCCCACACACTGCCCAAAGTAAATCAAAGAACCTTCCCCTAAACCCTCCAGGCAGACTGGGGCATGACACCACCTCAGCTAGTCATCCAGGTATGCATCCATCCCTCATCCTGGCTATCCCTGCTGTCCATCTCTCCGGCCATCCAGCCCAATCATTATTTCATCTGGCCATTCATCCATCCATCTGTCCAGACAATCCTTCCCATCTCTCCCCTGGCCTGGCCATCTCTGCTGTGTGTCTGTCCATATGGCCTATGGCTGGCCAATCCTGCTGTTCATCCATCCATCCATCCATCCATCCATCCATCCATCCATCCATCCATCCATCCATCCATCATCCATCCATCCATGCCCCACAATGGAGAGAGGGAGGTGTTTGTCTCTCCATCTATCCCTGGCCCTCACCCCCTCACGAAGCCTTCTCCACCCAATTTCCCCCATGACCCTGAAGCAGATGAGCTGGACAATGACTATCCCTGCTGCAAGAACAAGGACAAAGTGACACCTTGCAGGGGAACAGAGAGGCACAGGTGGGAATCCCCATCTCCCCCAGGCAGAGGATGGGGATGAAGATGATGGTGAATACCATTCTGCAGGAGCAGGACAACCCCTACATGTGTGACAGGGTAGGGAAGTTTGCGGGAGACAAACCCCCAGAATTGACCCCCATCAGCACAAGCACAAGTACAACGGCATGACTGGGAGCTGAGAAGCTGGAATAAAAGTGTGGATAGGGACTCAGAACCCAGCTTGGGAGGGTTCCAGACCCCATTTGGAGATTCCAGGAGTGCTGGGGGAGTCTCTGTCCTATGGGGGGGGGGTTCTGGGGGTCTTGGCCTCTTTTATGGGACCTCATGTGTCGTGGAGGGGTCAGACAGGTGGTGAGGGGAGGTTTGCCCCTTGCTGCATTTGAGGGTGCTGTGAGGGGATATTGGTGGAGGGTGTTCTCAATGCCTGTGTCGCCTCTACTCTGGATTTTGGTTGGGGTCAGCACTTCTGGGTGAGTCACCACCAGCTGCTGCTGACAGTGGTTTTGGGGTGGTTCTTGGGTTGTTTTGTCCTTTCCCAAAAATCTCCTTGCAGGGATATCCGACTGGTCTTGGGACTTTGTGCAGCCAGCAAGCTCGGTGCTGGTTTTGAAGCTCAGGATGAGTGGAGCTGGTGCTGGCCACACCATGCCACCAACACCAAAGGCAGTTTTTGTAAGCAGGCAATGCCAAGTGCTAGGAGAGCCTCTGCAGCTCCATTCAAGGCCAAGGAATAGACCACTGAGGAACCACTGGGTCTGGCTGTGCTGAATCTGGCTTCCCACTCCAGTTTGGGGAATGTCACAGGGTGAATAGAAGCTTTAAACAAGTCTTGCCAGTTTAAATTCAAGAAATTACTCTGGCCCACAAGTTCTAAGGATAGTGCATTAGGTCTATTTATAAATGAGTTATTTATTAAACAGACAGGAGATAACATGAAAGATGTTAATTAGAATTACTTACTATGCAGTATAAAATTAAAGGAACTACTAGTAGATTATATGGAACAGTGCACAATATCAAGGTACCTATATTAAAGCCAGTAAAAGAAATAGTACTGATTAGGAGTCAAATGTAACTTACTACCGAGATGATGATAATGTACAGAGAGTTCTTTTACTCAGCCTCCAGAGGAGTAACTGGAAAGCAGGCATCCCTGTTACGGGGAGAAACTACACACATTTCCAGAAAAATGTGCAGATTTTTGCTTTGTGAAAGCAGCTTTTATAGTTTATGAAGTGAGGTGTTTGTCAGACAGAAATCCAGCTTATCTTGCCAAATTTCACTTCAACAGTAAGGTGTTGGCAGTTGGGAGATGCCAGACTAATGTTAACCCCATGACACCAAAATAATTCATACAAGACAACTTGCCCTTTTTGAGCTATCTGACCAGTTAACAAGCTACAGGTAAGTTTTTTGGGGTGTGAGATGCCCTCCTACAGGAGAAAAACAGAAAACACAAGTTTTCTGGAGTTCATGCTGTTGTTGAGCCTGGGGATGGGGGTCCCCCATGCTGCGGTGGTGAAAGTGACAGGCCTTTGCCAAGTGCTCTGCCAGCCCTGGGTGAGAAGCTGGGACCCCCCCCAAGTCTTGGCAGTACCAAACTCCCCAGGCAAATAATCAGTTGAAATGCCCAGTTTTTGGCAAAATTATTTATTGGGGCGTCAATGTGAGAAACATAGCCGGTAGCATCTGGCACAGTATGTTCTGTTGCAGCCCTGACTGTGGTCTCCTCCAGCAAGGCGCTGGGTTTTGGTGGTGGGGGTGCTTGAGGGTGAGGAAGAAGAAGGTCTCTTGCAAGCTCTGGACTGCTGCAATGTATGCAAGGGTTGCTGTGGGGTCTCAGTGATGCTGGGAGTGCCACTGGCTCTGGGGTAGGAGGAGCGTGCTGAGTACTGCAGGGGCATCCCAGCCCAGCCTCTGGAGCCTATTCTCCAAATCCCTGGAGCCTTGGGGTTGCGCCACATCACCAGAGCTCTCTGTGGTGGGGAACAGGGAGGAAAGCATGGGGAGGGGTTGAATGTTACCTCCTTTTTTTGTGGGAACCTCAGGCACCCAGGGACATGTAGCGCCAGGAAACCCAAGTATGGAAGGGACCCCAAGCACCCTTTGTCCCAGAGTGCCCATTCCCAGGAGCCCCCTCCCTGTACCTTGGCACAGGATGAGCTGTAGCATGTTCCAGGCAGGTTGTGTTCCATGATGCCACTGACTGGGCTGCCATACCACTGGCTATACCGTTTCATTTTGCTGGGAGACCGTGGCACAGCCAAGTGACCCTTGGTGGGCTCCATCTGGGGACACCAGTGGTGCTGACAGTGCTGGCTTCCACAGTAGACGAGACTGGGGGCTTGACAGATGTCCTGCTGACACTTGTCACCAGTGTCCCCAGCTGGCTCAGCTAGGCTGAGCCCATCCATCTGGACAGTGGCCTTCTGGATGCCTCCCTGGCTGACAGGGATGAAGGCACCTTTCTCTCTGCCTGGGAAGATCTCGGCTATGCTGGAATCCTTACAGGAAGCCCGCAGGTCTTCCTGGCTGAGCTGGTAGTACTGGGTGGCCTCAAAGCCGGCCTTCACCTCCTGCATGGAGATGAAGGGATGATGAAGGGCAGCACTGGGTGTGATTCGCTCATGTGAGTCCCAAGTGAGCATCCTCTTCACCAGCTCCACCATCCTGTACAGATCACAATGCTTAGCTAGCTCCTCCTGATCAGGATCAGGCATCGGACAGACATTCACCACCGCCAACTGATCCAGTGAGGAAAAGATATGCTCCCTCCTCTCCATTGGCTTTGCTATCACCTTCCCTGGTGGTTTGAGCTGCCAGGTACCAGTGGAACATGGCACACGTTGGAAGAAGGACTGTGTCTTCTGGGCAGCGCAGAGCAGCTCACCCCGGGGTAGGCCCAAGGTGGAGCAGATGTAGCATACCTGGTCGTATTCATCATTGCCAGGGTAGAGTGGCCAACCCAAGTGAAGCTCGGCCATCACGCAGCCCAAAGACCAGATGTCCACCTTCTCGCAGAAGGGCAATCCCAGCAAGATCTCTGGTGCCCGGTAGAAGCGGGTTTGGATGTAGGGCTCCTGGACATGGCAGACCTCAGGGAGGAGGATAGCGGAGCCAAAGTCAACAAGCTTGATGTGGAATGGATAGCGTGCATGGTCCACCAGCATGATGTTCTCTGGCTTAAGGTCAGCATGGATGATGGAGAGCTCCTTCAGCTTGACCAATGCCACCAGCACCTGTGCTGTGATGGTACGGATGTGTCGGACTGGCAGAGGTGAGAAGTTGTTCTGCTTTTGGAAGTCAAAGAGGTTTTGCTGCAGCAGCTCAAAGACCAGGTAGGTCCAAACCGTGTCACTGAAGGACTCGAGGAAATGAATTATGTGAGAGTCCTTTGTGTTCGCCTCCCGCAAAGCCTGCATCAGCCTCAGTTCATTCTTCACTATTTGGCCATCATGATCACAGTTCTTCAGGATCTTGATGGCCACCATCTCCCCAGTGCTCCTGGACTGCCCCTGGATCACCTGTCCAAAAGTCCCCTTCCCCACCACGGCCATTATGTCATAGCACTCGGCACCTACCACTAGTGTCACCATGGTGGTTTGACTCTTCACCAGGGGCTCAGGATCCTCCAGCTCAGCACCCAGTGGGGACTGGAGACACCTAACTCTCCCAACCCTGCCTCACAACCCTGTAGGTTCCAACATCACCATGACAACACATGATGTCACAACAGAAGCAACCTGGGTGGAGGAACCCCCTGAAACCAACACTGGCCCTCCCGAATCCAGCCCTGCTGTCCCCAGATC